TCTTCACGTGGTGCGCAAAAAGGATGGGATTAGTTGGAGACCATGCGGCGACTACCGAGCCTTAAACGAAGTTACGCGCTATACAAGCCGTTATGCAACAGAATATCTCCGGTAGTTGGCAACCGCTTGAATTTTTCTCACGACGCCTTACTCCCACGGAGACGAGATATAGCGCTTTTGGTCGCGAGCTGCTTGCAGCCTACTGCGCCATCAAACATTTCCGGCACGCAGAAGAAGGACGTCAATTCATCTTATTCACCGACCATCAGCCCTTAACGTATGCCCTGCATATCAAGTCTGACCGCTACTCACCACGAGAGTGCAGACATTTGGACTATATCTCCCAGTTCACGACAGACCTTCGTCACATTAAAGGCGAGTCAAAGTATGTTGCCGATGCTCTATCACGTATCCAGACGAATGCAGTTACCTTACCGGTGCTCGATCTTCCTGCTATGGCCGCCGCGCAAGTAAACGATCCTGTCTGTACAGAAGCACCACAATCTTCGTCCCTTCAGTGTCAGGAAGTACCCCTAGCTACTAGCTCGGGTACTATCCTATGTGATATTTCTACCGGTCTTCCTCGACCCATCTTACCCTCTACCTATCGCCGTCTCGTCTTCGATGCCCTTCATGGATTGTCTCATCCAGGTATGGCAGCCACATTACGTCTCATCGCTGCACGATACGTCTGGCCGTCCATGAATAAAGATGTTCGTATGTGGGTAAAGCAATTCTTACAGTGTCAACGATCAAAAGTGCACAGGCATGTTACTGCCCCCATTGGCACGTCCGCTAGGCATGATGCTCGCTTTGATCACGTTCATATAGACATTGCAGGACCATTGCCACCATCGCATGGGTATGATCACATACTCACGTACATCGACCGTTTTACAAGATGGACCGAAGTTATTGCCATCAAGTCTATTACGGCTGAGACAATTGCTCACCGCTTCGTAGATGGCGCTTTACGGTTGTCACTCGACTGTCACGACTGACCGAGGACAACAATTTGAGACCTCATTATTCTGCTCACGGCTGCTTGGTACAGAACGCAAACGCACTACCGCCTACCACCCAGCATCAAATGGTTTAGTTGAACGGTTTCATCGCCAACTTAAAAGTGCTCTTCGATCACATGAAAACGAAAATTGGTATAAAACCTTACCGCTCGTCCTCTTAGGTATCAGAACGAGCTTGAAGGCAGATATACAATGTTCCGCCGCTAAACTTGTATACGGCACGACATTGCGTCTGCCTGAGGAATTCTTCACACCACGGGACAGTAATGATTTCGGTAAATCAGATTACGTTCGTCAGCTGTCAGCACTTATGCGAATACTGTCTCCGGTGCCAACTCGAGTACGACATCGACAGGTCGCTCTCCCTCGAGAGTTATCTACCTGTTCACATGTTTTCATACGAGTAGATTCGGTACGCAAACCTCTACAACAGCCTTAAGAAGGACATTTTCACGTGATCACTCATCACGAAAAGATCTTCAAGGTTGATCGACGCGGCCGTGTCGAGATCGTCAGCATTGATCGTCTCAAACCAGCACACGTCGATGACAGTGCACTACCCGATAACTTGAGACTCAATGCTAGACCTATCAAACCTTCTAGAGGGATCTCTACGTCTACCTCGGATCCCACACTAGATACATCAGAGACCTCGTTCTCACGTCCCGGTCAACAGCACGCGTCATCTGCACTATCTACGGACGAGACTTACGTCTCACGTCCAGATCGGCAGACCACGCCGCCCTTGACCTCGGATGAGAGTGCAGGCTCACGAAGTACGAACGAGACTACCGTCTCACGTTCCGGTCGCCGAGTACGATTACCCGTACGCTTTCGCGAGTAAATGCACAGTCAATAATGGATACGGTGTAGGATTATTCCTATACTTCACACATGCTACACTTTTCTTTTTTTGATGTTTTTGTATCCTGAGCCCACGCCTCCGACCATCGCCCGTTCGGTAACGTCGACTTCAGTCAACTTTGGCAAAAGCTGGTTTGGCCACCCACGCTCTAGTCGACGCACTCAGTCGATTATCTGGTCTCGAATTCGCCTGGCATACGCTTTGTCGTTATGGTCGCTTCCGGTTTCTTGGCTCAACGTGGTTTCGTCCTACGTCTGCAGCGTTTTCTGGTTCGCATCCCTACGAACGCAATCATCAGATCCTGGATACAAACCACTCTGGTGTGGTATGCTAATTCGACCAACAAATACAGCACACTTCTTCTGATACCGTCCTCCGTAAAAGACCTTCGTTGGCAACTCGAGGATCAGCGATCACTTCCCGTTTCGCCAATTCTTCCGTCCTACAACCGCACGTTTTCCGATTAGTCCCACGAACAAAACCGCTACTTATCGAAAGTGTAAACCCTTTCTAGCAAGGCCTGCTGTAGTGGCCTAATTTTATCAACAGAACGCAATTGGTTTAATGGAAACAATCGTTATTATGATCAATTGTGCCAGTGAGTATTTTACTGTACTCGTTTGTTTAACTCTACTAAAGACAGCCATTACTCTGCTCCATTAATGTTCCGTGGACTGTGACCTGGTACACTTGTTCTTCTACCCACTAATTTCACTTGTATTCCTTTTGGCACGATCTCGATAATCGTTCGATACCACGAGATTGCCAACAAATAAATTTGGTTATGAACCTTCTTCGCCTTCTGATTTGTCTGGCACGCTCTCTTCTTGTAGTGGTGTTCATAGTCGACCACGTTTCGACGCCACGCTACAACCTAATCAATAACCCATATTCTTGAACATGTCTCCAATTCGGAAATTTGTATAAATTCAAATGTTTTTTCATCTTTTTCTCTTTTTGTAGAAGAAACTTGCTGAAATTCTGTGGCCGAGAATTCTATATGGTACCAAAATATAATATTGATGAAAGCCACTAAAAATAATAAAAATAGTTGAATTTGACTTCGGAAGTTTATTGATCTGTCTTTGAATGATATAGAGAACACTTAACTCTGTGTTGCAAAATCAACTTAAAACCAGGAAAGCTTCTCTTCGGTGCAATATCGATTCTCCTGTCGATTCTCCCTAAAATCTAAACTGTCTTGAACGGCAGACGGTGGAAGAACAGTTTCTTTCAAACAGTTGGTTATTTGTCGTCCGTACAATGTTCTTTTCTGAATTCCACAGTAAACATCTTCGGATATCCATTATTTATGATGAGTTTGTCCAGAAAAGCCAGTTCGTTGTTTATTTTATCGTTAAAGCATAACAATCTAGCTGTACTAAAGAAGGTTCTAACTAGACAACATTTATACCAGATAGAGCAAAAGCTGTTATATGTAACGTTTTATCAGTTTATGTTAACTTCTTATACATACTTTCCTCAAGAGTCCCATCGTTTTCCTTGTTTACACTAAGGTCTAAATAATTGAATTAATTATTTCCTTCATATTTCATCCTAAGTGACGAAGCAAGCGATTATCATAATAACAGATAACCGATGTCTCATCAACATATCTGCAGTAGCGTGTTGTCATCTAGATTTAGCATTTCACTTTAATTCTTTTCAAATTAGACATGATGAAATTGATCAAGACAGATCCCATGATCACTACATCTGTTTATTTGTATTATTGATTTTCGACTTAAAAATGAACTGTTTTCATGAAAAGTGATAATAATTTTCTCACTGAACCGATTGATGTTAGACCACTATTGAAAACCTTGGAGCACTGGACAGCCTTCTCGTCCCGGTTGAATCCTGCGAGAGTGATCGTGAATGCGCACGAAAATCCATTAATTCTTTGCCATAACCACAGTATACTTTTATGACTTTAATTTAGACATCTTAAATTCTTCAATGATGACATATATTGTTTACTTGATATTTCTAAATGTGAAGTCACAGAAGCACAGATTTGTATTGATTTGTAAACATCGACCGGTTTGTTTTTTAACCAACCATTTTTGTCTTCAACAATAGGTTTCCGGTCAGTAAATTGGCCGTATCTGTTTCCGAATTACGTTTGTATATCATATAAAACATGAAAATTAGATTCAAGAGAGAGAAAGAGAGAGCTTCGATTTCGTTTTTGTTTAGCTTTATACTTAACAGACTATGAGAATATTTCTCCGAAGATTCATGGAATTCTTCATGTATTATTTCTTTCACTATGTATTTGATTAATGAATTGTAAAATGATTTGGACGTGTTACGTTATAGCTCTTGAATTATTGAGTCAGTTGAAGCTAGACCACTATGAAAAACCTGAAAGCACTGTACGGCCGTTTCGACATAGTATGGGACCTCTCAGCAGTTCGCCTCGCGATATTCTAAACCAGGACCTATGAGTTTCCTGCGTGAAGGCTTAACCTCTAAACCACTGAGACGACCGGCGTCCAATGGTGTTAATGTATATTTTCAACCAATGCACTAAATTAAGCCATCGCCCACCATTGTCTTCAGTGAGCTACTATGTCACAACAAACCCGGTTGGACTTCACTGGTCACTGCTTCTCAATTTAACTTCAGGAAATACCTTAATTTGTCGCTGATTTTTTTCGATTACTTGAAGTTAGATATTAACATCGTTGGATGCCGGCCGTCTCAGTGGTCAAGAGGTTAAGCATTCCCACATGAAACCGATAGATTGTGGGTTCGAATCTGTCGGTACGGGATAGTGGATACGCCCAGCCAAGGAGAAGTCCCACAACAGGATGAAACGGCCGCCAAGTTCCTTCAGGTTTTTTATGATATTTTATGTACAGTTGACTCATGAGTTTAACTACTAAATTTAGTTTAATGATTTTAGATTCATTTTATCACCTCAAAATTTAATGCTTTTTCTTTTCATTCTATTTACATAAGGATTGCATAACAAAGTAAACAGTTCGAATATCTTTCTTCTTCTTCTGGAATAGAAATTTCACTATAAAATGTAAATCAACGAATATTCACAACTACTAACGAATTATCAGTTCGAAGATAGGAGATTCATATACACAACAATCATGCGTTATCATCATTGTCTAGTACCTTTTATTGGTACAATTGTATTACTGACAATTGTACATGATGTAACGGGTAATTATTTATAACCTAATGTATAGTATGAATGCTTCATTGTTACGTAATCACATTGAAGGAGAAGAATAATGACGGTTGTTGTAATTGTGAACATCTTTCTTTTTTAACATTCAGGTTCTGGTTTATTCGACGATGATGTTAGTAAGCTTCACTGACATTTGTTTTCTATGTACATCTTGAATAAATCACCTTGATATTGTCATTTGAACATGAGAAGTTCTAGTGAAGTTGAATTATGTCTAACAATCTAATCAGATATTCTCGTCTCTCACTTTCTCGAACTCAACAACTTGACCCAATTATAATTCATTTCACAGTCTCCCCAACTTAAACAAATATCACTCTAAAACACAATCATGGTTAAGTAGGTTGATCAACATCCATCAGTATTTGGTCCACATCATCTTCAAAGACAAAGAAGGAACTCATCACTTTCTAATCCATAGGTCTTTCTATTACATAAAACATTGTAATACACGCATATGTACAGTTCACTTAATAATGCAACATACTTTGCTACTGACAATTCTTCAGTGAATGATACTTTGTGGTTGTCCTTCATGTAACATGTGATCTTCGTTGGATTATATACTAATAAACATGATAATTGAAACTGTATTTCAGCTACACGTGAGTTCAAATGTTAATGTGTTTTATAACTGATTATTTATGCAATTTCATTCACAATATAGCTAGTCTGGCTGAGATTCCTACATGACTGATTTACCAGTCGTTTGGATTCAGTTAGATTCCTGAACAACTCATTTTGTCGTTTCACAAATGACATTGTGAATCAAACAATTTTTGTTCTAAGAATGGATATCTTTGTTGAAAAACAAATTTAAAGGACTGACCAATTGAGCTGATGAATAATTATCATCAAATTAATCTATGTCCCGGTCACCGGAATGCATGACCTTAACGGATTTGTGAGAATGTATTGTTAATGAACAAAATATAATGTTATTCATCAACATGATGATACACCGCTCTGTGAAACTGTTAGCTGACCTGTATTTTCATGACTCGTGGTAAACGCAATCACCTTACGGATTGAGTATGATGGAGACTTCGTTTTAAACTAACGAGCTATCGTTTGTTCCATAAGTAGATAGATCAAAATAAAAGTTACCTACAGAGTTGATGAGGGTCACGAACATATATTCCATGCTTCATGTCTAACACATATCGGTCCTCAAACAATTATTGATAACATGTGGTAATTAAACCTTTAATGATGTGAGTAGACTTTAGAATTATAAATCTTTCGGATTAGTTGTGAATCTTCACTAATTTAGATGCCTGGAACATGCGTTACGTGAGTTCAATCAACAGATACGTTGATAGACGATGAATATTAGTGAAGGTGAACATTGCAATGTATCAAAGATGGTTAAAACAAATGATGACATCAGTCCATCGAGTTATCAACTGTTGGAGTGAGTCGTCTAATAAGTTAAAGACTAAGTGGTTGCGATCACTTGTTGATATATCTCAGAATCAATTTCCGCGAACACACATCTGGACAATTATTATTATGGGCTTACTAGTATTTAGCTTTAAGATGTGCTTCCTGGAGTTCCAGTCAGTAGACGCGACCAGCGGAGTCAAACCTTATCCGTTGTGAAGCAGTGACTCACTGAAGGCAACGGTGGATGGTAGTGGAATATCGTGGATTATTTGAAGTCAGAAATTAACACCGTCGGATACCGGCTCAGTGGGGTAGAGGTTAAGCGTTCGTGAGCGAGACTGATAGGTCTTGTGTTCGAATACCGTGTTCGCGATCGTAGGAGCACACTGATAATTAGTCTTGTACTAGGAAGTAAATGTCCGTCCGATGTTCTCAGGTTTTCAGTGATGATCTAGCTCAAATCGACTCATGAATTTAACCGTTAAACATCTCAGAATCATTTAGATTGTCGTAAATGTAGTTACGCTCTATCTCACTTTAAATCCTGAGATTATTTTATCATACTAACAATCATTTTGCTACACGAATCCATATTTCGTGCTCAAATTATTCCAACCATTGCTGTTTTTCCGTTGTACCAGTGCTACTGCTGATATAAATGTTACTATATTTAGTTCTACTTCTATTCTAAGATTTATCTCGACGACTTCCTCTTATTGATCGAAAATGATGTTACAACTTGAATCCGTACTGAGATACTTTAAGATGATAGTTACGAGCGATTGATAGACTTGTATAACGTTGTTCTGACTTGAATCGTGAATCTTTTTGTTAAATTTTAGCCAAGATGACAAGTATGTTTCATGTTTTTACTATATCGTTGTACTTTTCTTGTTTTTTATCACTGAACCAGTAGATGTTTTGCTAAATAAACCAACTGTACACTATGTAATATACTGTTTGAATTGTATTATCCATTAGAAACGATGATTCTTTGTTTTAAGCATTGAATTTTGTTTCTCAGTTATCATTAAGTATTGACCTTACTTAAATAGTCATGAAGAGTTAACTATTACTATCCAAGATAAAACGTTGTTTAAATCACTTGTTTTTTTAAAGTTTAATTGGTGAAAGGGTTATTTGTTTGAGTGTGTGTGTGTGTGTGAATAAATGTCTTTAAAGACCATGATTTGTAAAGGTGTGAATTCATTCATCGACTGTATTCACAGATGAATTCCAATTAGTCACTCTTCATCTATATACATTCTGTATAGTTTGGATAGATAATACTTAGTTTCTTGAAATAGATGACATATAACTATCAGTCTGACAAGATGAATATATAAAGAGATTATCTTAAGAATTCATATGTAAAAACAAAGGTCAGTTGGTATTTGATTAGTATCAGAAGGGTTTTTGTGGATATTGTAGTGATTTCAATAGTTGAGATCATGAATCAATTAAAGTTAAACTACTATAGAAAACCTGAAGGCACTTGAGGTTGTTCTGTCTTAGCATCAGATACCTCAGCAGTGCGTATCCAAGATCGCAAGATTTGAACGCACGACCTATAGGTCTCACGTAAGAACCCTTAACCTCTAGACCACTGAGCGTGTCGGCATCCAACGGTGTTAATTTCTAACTCCAACAAATCCACGAAATTGAGCGACACATCCACCATTGTCTTCAATGGGTTACTATCTCACAAAATATCCGATTGAACTTCACTGGTCACTGCTTTTCACTAAAACTCCATAAAAACACCTTTTTAAATCAGTCACTAGTGATCAAATATCAGGAATGGTTCGAGTCTCACCAGGCGGGATGATAGATGAGCACTACTGAGAAGTCCCACAATTGGAAAAATCGGCCGTCCAGTGCTTTCATGTTTTACATGGTAGTTTAGCTTCAATTGACTCATGATCTCAACTATTAAAACTGACGTTTAATTCTTAATTACTAAAGATTGAATAATAATCCCATGTACATTATAACTGCCAAACAAGTTGGTGTTTATTTGATCTGATTAGATCAACAAATAGATAACTCTAAGACGTTTATGTTGAAAAGAATTATATCCAAGTCCTTATATAGTAGCAATAGTGTTAACTGATATATGTCCATTAAGTGATTGCCAAATAGGTTGAAGCATGTGTACTTCATTCTACTATTATCCACCATTGATCTATTCTAAAACCATGGTACGTTTTTATGTATGTGTCAATTATAATTAGATTCATCTATGAGGTTATTAGTGTATGAGTGATCTAAAACTTGCATTGGGTATGTATGTTATACATGTAGATTAAATTATCAATGATCTACTGATTATTCATCTAAAAACATATAAATTTTTCTTATGGAATATAAATTAATGAAATTTCTTTGCTTTTTTTGGGGGGTGGGCTTAAAAAATCAAGCGAGAGCTCCTAGTTCAGCCAGTAAGTGAATGTTTCAAAAAAGTTTATAACTAAGCGTTTTTTATTGATATTTATTCAACGAATTATTATTTACTTTCGCCTGTTACCTCTCATGGAAGAGCGTATGTCGCACACCAGCATTCTATATTTAATTTCGTCTCAGTTCTTAATAGTTACTATTCATCTTACTCAGTGTGCTTACGATTTCGAACGTGATGTGTACTTTGTCCTACGTTTTTTATGTTTCCCTTAAAGATTACAAATTAGCGCTTGTCTCATGATGCAGTTTGATGATTTCTTCAATGTGTGTCCTTTCCACATCCAGCGTATTTTCCTAATTTCCTTTTCAGCTGGAAGCTGGTTTGTTCTCTACACAGTAGGCTATTGCTGATGTTATCCGGCCAATGGATGTTGAGCATCTTGCGTAGACAACTGTTTATAAATGCGTGTACCTTCTTCACGATGGTTGTAATAGTTCTCAAAGCTTTAGCTCTATACAATAGAAGTGCCTTGAAATTCGTATTGAAAATTGTGACTTTGATGTTGGTTGACAGTTAATTTGAGTTCCATTTGTTCTTCAGTCGTAGGAATGTCGCCTTTACGTCTGCATCTGAACCTCCTTGTTCATCGATGATGTTACCCAGATACGAGAAACTTTCTACCACTTCCAGAGTTTCTCCGTCAAGTGTGATTATGTTAGTATTTTCTGTGTTGTATTAGATGATTTTGCTTTTTCCTTTGTATATATTGAAGTCTACTGATTTAGAGACCGACTCTATGCTAGTAATCTACATCTTTAGCTTAAATTTATTATATCTATCTATCTATCTATCTATCAATCAATCAAAAAATGCCTTATTCTTCTTAATTCATTTTAGGTTCATTTCAAATATCTTGGCTGATTTTTTCATCAGCCTTCGTGATAGTTATTGGACTGATCAAAAGTTATACAGAATCAACTATCTTTTAAAGCAAACCTAATTACATACATTCATTGTTGAAAACAATGGCAAATTTTGTATGTTACATTACTAATATTCCATGATACAGTACGGAAATATTTCGGTGTTTAAATTGTTCTGACTTCAAGTAGATCTTTTGATTGATTGTTATTGAAATATACATATCGTCAATCCTCGTGTAAAATTGTCGACTTAAATCGCGTTAAAAAATACTGTAATTAAAATAAGTCAAATGTGAGAATGGATGTTTGAATTTGTATATTTTGTACACTGATTGGTCATGATAGACAATTAGGGAGTTGAAGCGTATAGGTATAGGTATTTAACTGAATGAGATGTTCTCAAGAATCTATATTGACTCGTTTGGTGTTCAAATGAAAATAAACCACGACTTATGACCAAAAAACACTACTTAACAATGGTTTATGCTAAATTACACGTGATTACATGAAATCCAGCAGTTGTTAAACGTTAGATGATTCTCCTGGTGAATTCTTGTCCGAAGAAATTATAGCACGAGTTCATAAACCTCACTCGGCTTTTGTGAACTCGCTCCGCATGTGAGTTGGTTGAGACATCCGTCCATCAAACAAAAGACGATTATACTGTGAATGTAAATGGAGAAATTTCAAACTACGGATGTCTGTAAGTTGCTAGCATTCAATCTAGATGCTTTCGGGGCAATCCACGTACATTTTGCGACAAAAAAATGAACACGGTTAAAGTTAGCTGCATGTCGCTGAATGAAAACGGTAAATCTATCGATGAATTAGAGAATCTACATTGACTGAGGTGTTTGTGACATATGTTACTTATACCTAACCACTACCCATCTCAATGGTCGATGATGATTGATGTAAGACTGGGCATGAAGTAAACCGAATGAGGCGAAACCAAATCATGGTATAAGCCATCTACCATAAGTCCGATCCATATGGACAGATGCGAATTACTTGACTGGGATCCTATTGCAATTGGTACTATTACACATACACACGACTTGTCCTAACTTTTAGACCGATGAATTATCCTGATCTTTGAACTTGTTCCGTAGGGCACTAAAATCCCACCGCTAATCATGATCAGTGATTATGATATGTTTATCGTTCTCGAACCGCATGGTTACATGAAAGTGTAATTTCCATTGGATATTACTTTTGGTCGTAACTCTTTCTATATTTATGTTTTTCATACTTTATACTGGGATGCTTTATGATGGTATGTTCATGTTCAAGACTTTATAGATAACACTATTAGCTTTAAGTGAGATTTCTGATAAAAGTTGCTCTGTAATAAGCCACATTTACCTACTGAATTAACGCAAAGTGACCGAAAGTGTTTAACATAACAAATTTACCAAATATTGAAACAGTGTAAAAAGCTTCAACCTTATTCATCATTATCCATAATGAAGAAATTCGTTCCGGGTAAATAGTTATAAATAACTCCAACTACATACACTTAGTTTGAATAGTTTGATGAGTAGTGAGGTATGAGATTACGTATGTAACTGTTCTCAATCACAGTTGACAACTGAATTTGTTTTATTTCCTAAGTCAAATATATAAATAGTCATTCATGATTCATATCACGGAGGCCAAGACTTGTGTTCTGAATTCATCAGGCTGGACTGGGCAGGAAGAAGGACCGACAAAGACTCTAAACTGCTTGTACGGGTTTATGTGTCAATGATCCGGTTGATAATTCATTGTTCTCCAATCAGCGGTATCAATACGTCATATATTAATAGGGCACAAGGCCACGAAATATAACGGTAAGAATCCTTACATCTTTGTACAATCACGAACGTTTGGTAAATAAGTATGAATTTATGACGTTACATATTTGGGTGTGCTTTAATTATCAAATATGTACTTTGTTGACTGTTAGCTACTGACTATTCATGGGATTGTCAGTAAAATAAACTGTTAACTCAACTAAATTAGTAGAAACTCGAACTTCACAGAGATCATATCTATCCTAAGATAATACACCACAGTTAGTATTCAACTCCATCACTTTTCAGAATGCTGGACTGTAGGACTTAGTCTCGTGAACTACCGTGAGCGCTTAGTTGATATCAGCCTGACCCACTACTTTTTTCCAATTTTGGAGTATTAAATATACAAATAAATATAGCCCATGTACTAAGGGAATAAGATATCTAACCGAAAGATGTTGTCAACTAAAGGAGAGGACGGCAAGCATTTTAGTCTGAATTCCGTACGGAGTTGCAATGGTGCATTATTTGTCCGACATGTATTGTTGATATATGGACCGAACTGTACGTTCATCCAGGCCCATTAACCACGATGTCATGCAAGAATGATGGCTATAAACCTTATTGATGATTTCCAGGTATGAGAATGGGTACGATATGAATTTGTGGTATAAGCATGAAGGTACTGAATTGTTGGGGTATTCAGAAAATACCCCAGAAATTATCTAATGCCATTCCTGAATGAGAAAAAGTGTCATTTTCTCCAGAACTCATAGTTTGTAATTTTATCTTGTGGAGCTTGTATGCAGATGTGTACGTGGGCATTTCTTACCACCCACGCATATAGTCGATTGACGAATTTATCGATTAAATGTTTAAATAATTCAATGGCAGTCAATTGACGAACTATCGATTAGATGTTTAAAAGCTCCATGGCAATATCGATGTATAGATATTTGCATATATACGTTTAAAATTGTCTTTGTAAAAAAGTTTGCTGATTTTCTGGTTGTTGCAGAATATACTTCTCCATTCTAAGCTTGGTCTTCTCTCTCTAGATAGTGGGGTTGGGACGCGTCATTAGCTAGCTCACTGGACCTCGATCATCGAATCTCGTTCTCGTTCGCTTTTCAACCCTAACAATTTGGCGACGCTGAACTTCACCGTTTGGAATCTGAGGGTGTTCTAGTACCTGTTGCTTATTCATCATGGGCTGCACCAATTGTGGTTGTCAAAAATCCAATGGTTCCATACGCATCTGTGCAGACTTTTCCACAGGACTCAATGCGCCCCTACAACAGCATCACTATCCGCTACCGATCCCAGATGACTTATTTACTATTTTAAATGGTGGTACCTACTTCGCTAAGCTGGATCTGGCGGATGCTTACCTTCAAATTCCTGTTGCTCCTGAATCAAGAGAGTTGTTGACAATTAACACGCACCGAGGTCTTTTTCAGTATACCCGGTTACCCTTCGGTATCAAAACTGCTCCAGCGATCTTCCAACAGATCATGGATAGTATTCTGGCAGATGTTCCTGGCGTCGCCACATACCTTGACGATGTCCTCATTGTCGGCTCAACTGCTGATGAATTGCATACCAGAACACACTTAGTTCTACAACGCCTCCAAGACAATGGTTTTCGCCTTCGTCCAGAGAAATGCCAATTCTTCTTACGTTCCGTTAGATACCTGTGGTTTATCTTTGATGCTTCCGGACGACATCCTGATCCTCAAAATACTCGCGCAATCCAACAAATGCCTGCGACCACTGATGTCTCCTCACTGCGATCAATTTTGGGAATGATTAGCTACTATTCAGCATTTCTTCCATCACTGCATGACGTTCGATATCCATTGAATCGTTTGCTAGAAAAAAACGCTACTTGGAATTGGTCCAGGCAATGTGGGTCAGCCTTTACGAAACTTAAATCCATGCTAAGTTCCAAACTACTGCTAACGCACTACAATCCGAAACTACCCATTGTGGTTGCTGCTGACTCTTCAACACATGGACTGGGTGCTATACTCTTGCATGTCTTTCGAGATGGTTCAAAGAAAGCGGTGATGCACGCTTCAAGAACACTAACACCTGCTGAGAAACGCTACGGCCAGATCGAGAAGGAAGCTTAGCCCTAATATTTGCTGTCCGTCGATTCCACAAATTCATTTACGGGCGCCGTTTCACCTTGCTCACAGACCATAAGCCGTTGTTATCAATCTTTGGATCAAGGAAAGGCATTCCTGCCCATTCTGCTAATCGTCTTCAACGTTGGGCGTTGGCGTTATTGGGGTACGACTTCGACATTCAGTATCGACGTTCCGAAGATTTTGGCCAAGCAGATGCACTATCCAGTTTTATCAGTAACCGTTCTATCGCTGATGAGGACACACTTATAGCCACAATATCAACGGAAGAGGATTCCGGTGCTAAACTATTAGCGAATGACGTTCGAGCAATGCCTGTTACCGCTGAAGAAGTTCAGGCAGCTACCAGAGAAGACCTGATTATTCAAGAAGCGATCACCTATGTTCAGAGCGGATGGACAGTTAAGCAGCTGAGTGGTGATATGCAACAACTAGCGAATCGTCGCAGTGCCCTCTGTGTTGTTAACGATTGTCTGATGTTCGGTGATCGCGTAGTAATTCCAACAACCCTACGTCTCAAGGTCCTACGCCAATTTCACCCTGAGCACATAGGGATAAACCGTATGAAATCCATCGCTCGCAGCTATGCATATTGGCCGAACATGGACAAACAGATTGTCGACTTTGTCAAAAGATGTTCACATTGTCAAACAGCTGCGAAAAATCCCCCTAAGTTGCCTCCAGTACCCTAGCCAAAGTCAGAAAAACCATGGTCGCGAGTACATATTGACTTCATTGGACCCCTAGATGGTGCCACATATCTGATACTGGTTGATTCCTTCTCCAAATGGCCGGAGATATTGACGATTGCGCCGCCCTCTACAACTCGAACCATCAACCTCCTTAATCAGATCTTCGCTCAGCATGGTCTTCCAGAAACAATAGTAACAGACAACGGTTCACAGTTCACATCCAGTCAATTCCGAGAATTTTGCATGCAAAACTCAATCAACCATGTCCGTTCTCCGCCATATCACCCTCAATCTAATGGACAAGCTGAAAGGTTCGATGATACATTTAAACGAGCCATGCTTAAAGCACGAGGGGAGGGGACCACAGAAGATATCATACAACGATTTCTAATGGTGTATCGTACGACTCCACATAACTTATTGCCAAACTTCAAGTCTCCCGCTGA